ATTATATTGCGTAAATCGCTATAAACTACATATTTACTCTAAAACAAAATAAACTTATACAGAAATTAAATGCGTAGAATTCGAAATTATGAAATTCTTTATTGAAACAAGAAATTAATGCGAACGTTTCTCAATTTGTTGATAAAATACCATAAAATTCGAACGTGCAATAATTAAACTGTGCGATGTGACAAAAAAGAATATGAAGCGGGCAAATAATTTGTATAGTTACCTGGTCCAATTGTTTGTTGTTGTTGTTAAGAAACACCACTCGGTTGCTAGAGACGCCATTTGGACCTTATGACAGCTGTCAATGATGTTGTTGCATTGTTGTTGTAGCCTTTAAACCTGAGTGCGTTCACCTGTAAACAACAATAAAAGTAATTAGTATTGAATTTGCTAATCACTTTTATTTATGTCAAAGTTGACAATCACGTTTAAAGTTTACATTATGAAAGGTTATAACTTTATCGCATTTTTCTATAATTGCGTAATAAACGATTGTATTCAATTTGAAATGGGAAATCATTGAAATTAAGTCTTTTAAAATTGAATCTTAAAAAAAAAAAAATTTAGAATTTAATACAAAAAATTAAGCGAATCATAACAAATAAAATTTGATAAAAATTCACTAATTAACTAACATTTACTTAAATAATTCGCTTAAAATTTTCCGCAGAAACTTCGCAGAAACTAATTTGAAATTGAAATTATGTAATTTTCGTTTTAGAAAATACACGTTTATTTATATGGTACAGGAGTGTGTTGAAATAATGATGAACGGTCCGTAATTAATTGCGACCGTGGGCGACCCGAGAACGTCCTTTAACCTTTAAACGATAATTGAGAGCATCAACGAAATAAATATATAAAAACGAAGAAACTTTTCCACTTCTGCATACCTGAAATTTACATGAAACGTTCCATTTTTAAAGGGATGAATTAAACAGCAGAGTTTTTTTTTCGTACATCGTTACATCAGTTTTTGGTGAATTATTTCACAATTTGTAAACCGAAATAATTAGTTATTTTGATTTAAACGTATCAACGTGTCACGTGTTTTCGCGTATTTTCGCTTATGTAAAAATAATATATAAATTTTATAAGCTAAATTTACGATTGTCTCACAGTAGGATTTGCAAAGAAATTTGGCTAATTTACGATCAAATTTTACGAGATTTCAGCGCAATTTACGACGAAACTTTTCCTGCGCTTCTTACATAAACAACGAGTGTTTCCCTTTTCTAAATGATATTTTTCTAAATGAATCGAATTTCTTGCATTCACTACATCAAAGAGGTAACATCGTGTAATTTAAATCTGATCGGAAGCCGTTGTTTTCGTATTGCATCTCGAAACGCGAGCGAGTTTCTTCTTTCTAGGGCGAATCGACGAATGTTTCTTATAGGAGGTGATGGGATTTCCCTGAATAGCGTTGCGTAGTTGAGGCGATTGCGTGATGGCATCTAAACGAAATGCCTGCAATAAGTGTCACATAAAATGTTGGGATTAAAACATTTTGAAAGGGATATAACATAGAAAAAAAAAAGGATCGAGAAGGCGATGGAATCGTGATGCAACTGAGAGTTTTAGTTTTAATATTGAGTTACGTCCACAAACTACTGCCACCTTTAATCCAATTATTGTTAGTGGAGAGAGAGGAGATAATTTAGTTCGGAGGAATACCCAATTTCGGTTGATGCCTTTGTGCGAGGCTGCAGGTGGTATTGTTATTGTAAATATTGTTGTTGTTTGCAGCGGACGGCGACGGCAAAGGTTCGCCCCATCCTCCGGGCGCCCATCTGAACCTCTCCCACGGGATGACCGGCATCGAAGCCGTCGACGGATCAGCGCAGGCCGTCCACTATTTGGCGCGCTCCAACGATCCCTTCGGTCCCTCCAGGCAGATCCCACAAAAAAGGTCTAACACTATACGCAAACACACACACTTTTCACTTAACTTGCATTCATTTTCTAAAGGATCCCTCCCTTTTCCATTCGATTTTATTAGCACCGAGACGTAAAGTGGAAAACACTGCTTCTTCATAAACAAAGTCAAACTTTGAACTTCAGCTTCTTCCGGTCGAAAACCATCCAATTCCAACAAAATCATTCTAAAAATGAATCTGGAAAAGAGAATAAATAAATTAGAAACTAATTGTCGGATATAAAAACATAATTAAGTAAATTAGAAGTTTTGTTTAACATTTAATTGCAAACAATTGTATCAAACGACCATCATTTTTGCTTGTTAAGCAACAAAACAAACCTTGTTAACAAACTTTTCCAACAAAACTTAATCACACGTTTTCCATTCGCGATCCATATAATTTTCCGTCGAGAGTGAAATTACCGCGAATTACAATTTTTTTTCTTTTGCGGATTACCTCAGGATTTTCTCAATCGCATGCGAAAAGCGATTAATTAAACGTGTGCTTCGATTTTGTAATTTGTGTTGGAAATTTGTTGGATAGAAAGTAACGGCGATGGTAAATTGTAAAGATCAATGAAAATTTAGGGCTATTGACCCAATCGTTTCTGCTTTGTACCTCTCATTATGTAACGCAGAAGAGATGTCGAATTGGATGGATGATTGCGTAATGGAGAAGATGCTGCAAGTACCGTTAGTGATTTAGACAAATGTTGCATTGTTCTCGTGATGTGTTCAAATTTGTAGGATATCAATCAACATCAAGACTTTTTTTCTTCTTCAAATAATTGAAGTTTTAGAAGATCGCTGATTACCGTTTTGCTACTCCAAAGTTTTGGGGTTTAAAGGCGATAGTAAAATTACATTCTTTCTACGCTCGAGTCTGGTTGTTAATGGGTTAATTAAGATCTTAATCCACGTGAACACTTGCGACCATACGTTATCCTCCCCGGCGATGATTATCCATGTAACCAAGGACACGAGCAGACGCAAATCCACGTTGCTGGGGTTATGAATTATTTATTTGCTCTTTACTTGGAATCCAAGAAACACCCACAGCCAACTGCTGTAAATATTTTATCTAGAAAAAAAATTGTATATCAATTAAAGAAACTCATAGTTTGCATAAATGTTTATTTTTTTTTGCAATTCGCATTGCGTAGCTGATCTATAATGCATGCATGCGGATTAGTTTGTTGTGAAAGCGCGGAGCCCGCGGATTTCGGGTGAAAGCCGCAGAAGATTATCTCGCTGGAATCCGCTACGATGATGATAATAACAACAGCAATACCATTGTTGATAGTCTGCGTGTTTACAGGTCATCGAATGGTGGAAGCGTCGCGACGCGTTCGAAGCGCGGCGTCCTCGAGCTGTACAACATGGTCCGATGTTCGACCGGATGTAATCCGTTGATCTACAAGGGATACGGATGCTACTGCGGTTTCCTGGGCTCCGGTTTCCCCGTCGACGGAATTGACATGTAAATATGCCGCCATCCCGTTACTATACAGAAACAAAACGAGTACAGTTAGTTGGGTAATGATGAGCGAGAGACAATGAGAGAGTCGGAAAGGCAGAACGAAACGGTCAAATCGGTCAATTAATCATTGTCTCTCTTTCCGTCTGGTCAACAGCACCGTTTCAACAATTAGCCAATTTTCGTTCCGCTCTTTCTACCATTAGCATTTCTTCCGCAATAGGGTTAAGCGTATAATCCCAAGGATGGTCATGATGTTCTCTTCTTCTTTCAGGTGTTGCAAGCAACACGACTGGTGTTACAACACGGCCAACTGTCCCATGTATTTGGAATACTTCGTGCCATACTACTGGAAGTGCTGGAAAGATAAATCGCTGTGTGGTAAGAGACATTCTACTTCACTGAATACATTATTCTGTTCTCCACTTTATGAAATCATTATTACATAACATTTTGCATACATAGTCTTATTATTATTATTAATTCGGTATTAATTCATAATAGAAACTGAAAGTTCTTCAAATTAACAAACAATAAAATTTACATATAATCAAGTGATGCGAGGAATTGGGAAACTGTTGAAACGTCAAATTTTTTTTAATGTTAGTTTTAATTAGGTGCAATTTATTCAAATCCAATATTCCTTTTTAATGCGAATAGATTATTTTGAAATTATGTCAATGACAAGAAAAATCGATTCGTTGTTTTTTTTTGTTTAATTTATAAATTAATACAAATTTCAATATCGTAACGAGTATTGTTTCAATAAATGAAACAAAAAAAAAACAAATACAATTTGACATTGAATTGTCACGAAAACTAGATCAAATAATTAATTTATAATATGAATCGTCGATTATCTGGGTCACAATTTAACGTGGTTCGGGTTAACCGTGGTCGCGGCCGTCTCTATTCTTACTAAATTTTAATTTTTAGCTTATAAAATAAGTAAAATTGTACTAATTTTCACAAGAAAAACATAATAAAAATATACAGTTTATATATCAATACATCAATCTGCTTTAACGTTCCCAAATTACCACGGATTTAATTTTCTTAATATTAATATAATATTTCCCTATTGTAATGTATACATAAATTATATGATGAATATGTGAAGATGAAGATGTTGATTTTAGCTATTGACCATTTGGAATGGGGCGGAAGCGGTTCGTGCGCCCAAAGACTCTGCGAATGCGATCGCCTCCTCTCGGAATGCCTGAGCCGCCATCCCTGCCCGAAATCAAGAGCCCTGTGCACCTCATCACCATGGCGACTGCTCCAGAACACCTTCATGATCTTCTAACGAGTGAATCACTCCGCGCATCACTCAAATCAGTATCTGGAAAAAAAGAACCAAAGCCAAAACGAATTACCAATAAGCTATACGATTCGTTATTTGAATTGTAATTTATAATAATAATAATAACCTTCAGCATCAAGTACACTCACAATGTGACAGTAATTATGTAATAAATGATAATAAAATAAGAGAATACTTAGACATCTGTTTCGTACCGCAATGTATTCAATGAAGAATCTGATGCAGAATTCCAAATCCAGATCCCAGTACATCTCATCGGAAGCTTGTAAACATTAGCACTGGCAAATCAGGCAATTCGGACTTAATATATTAACGCCTTGAGACCGTCATTCGATTGTATTTTAATGCGCATCAGGTATGCTGATGAGATGTGATTGTGGATCCGCCCTGACCCGGTTATAGCGTTCGTTTGGAGGGAAATGGGAATGAAGCAGAAATGAAGCAGAAAACTCAGGAGGATGGCATTTATTTGCTTAATTCCTTCTTGCGCAACTTCGCGAAGTAAATGGATCCGAAGATGAGGACTATAGCGCAGAAGGCGAACACGGCCACGAAGCATTTGAACTGATTGGGAACGAGCTGCTGGGTCCGGTACGACGTCGTCGTCGCGGCTTCAACTCCATCGTTTTCCGATTCCACGTCCTTCCCTTTTTGATTCCTACAAAATAAAATCATATAATCATAGCATAGTGAATCCGTTCCAAAATTTCCGGATTTTTACTCGCTTTACATCGCTCGTTTTTCTTACAATTCATTTTGCTCGTTAATCGAGGTTTCACTGTACATAACTACAATCATGCGATTTCAGCATTTTCAGCTTGAATTAATACAATCTCCATATGCTGTATGTATGCAACCAAACCAACATTTACCTCATGTTGAACTGAGCTGTTGTTCGTTCGCTTTTACTGATTTCTTGTAGTACACCAGCAGGAAGATGGAGAGCGACAAGCATACAAAGCAGGTGATGCTCAAGCCGATAACAACTTTCCTGTACCTGCTGCAAGCGTTGCAGACGTTCTTGCAACCTTTTGGACACGCTTTTTGCGTTGATCTGAAAACACGAGCAAATGTATAACAGCAACAACGAGAATCATACGACTTACTCGGATCCACTGCCAAGACGCATCTAAACCATACTTCTTAATTGAGATTTCGCTCGCTTCTCGATGTTTGTAAATTCTCCAGACAGCTATTTTTGAAGTTTCAAAATTGACTAGTCGAGACAGCCCTCTGTTGGTGACCTAAACATAGCAAAAAATGCTAATTTGTATATAATTTAGTTCTAATCCCATACATTGCTTAATTAATGTATAATTACACAGCGCAATTCGTGATTCAATCATTTAACGAAACTGTTCGCAATTGTATTTATTTGGGTTAAAAATGATTAATTTTTGACACTTTTTCATGAGATTCTAATGGGATTAGGAATTTGGTCGATTTTCACCACCGATTTGAACATTCGAAACAAAATCGCACGCAGACTCAATTGAAGAATTGCCAACTAAGGCGATTCAAATAAAAATTAGGAAACGACATCTTGCGGTCAAATTACAATTTAACTTATGTTACCATGATTACAACGTTTCTATCTACCGACCACACGAGCGCTGTCTTAATTAATTAGTAACTAAAGACTTAATTATTAATTAATTAAATGTTACATTAGATCAATTTATGAAAACACGAAATAATGCTTGAATGTATACCTTTATTTATTTATTTAATATTTGAATGATACAAATTTACATTTAGCTGAAATTTTATGAAGATTCGAAGTTGGGAATCGATTTGCATTGGGCCAAATCATTGACCTGATCCTGAAAATGAAGTTACAATAAAGACGAATTATTTTTGTTTTATACACGTTTTACGTACTAGTAAATTGCTGCAAATAGACTCTATAGTCAACATTGCAGTTTGCTTGAAATCATCATCGAAAATGGGTCCTTCGTTGTTCGTCGCCAAATAAGTATCGGCATTGGAAACGTTTAAACAACAGACAATGATGCAGAAAACTAACATCCTTTTATCCAATCTGCAAGCAAAAAAACAAATTTTTACTGTAATATTATAAAATTGCTGGTGTTATTCGTGTTTTAAAAAGGAAATACTCACGTGAACATCATATTGTGTTCAGTTTCGACGTTGAATTCGAACTGAATTCGGTTTTAAACGGGTCGGATGCTTTTATACACGGATAACATTCGCGAGTCGACAACTCCCAGGAGGATTAAATGCAAATACAGAAATGCTAATATTTGTAGGAAACTTCTAAGAGAAGAGATGTTTAATATATCTTTAGAAATTAACATTTCAGATTATAAAATGTAAATTATAATTATGAAAATGTTGTCAATAATTTTTTTTCTTAATAATTGGATTTTTCTTGTTGGTTTATTTTACTGAAATATTGAAATTACAAATTAAATAAAAAGCGATTGAATTTTATTCTGTATAAAATATTAAGAAAAAAAATAAAAGTTTATTGAAAAATCGCGTTGTTCATAGTGAACAGTTGATTTAAACGTTTTGATATATGATTATGAAAACGCCACTTATCTTGACTTATTCATAACCAATCCCAAAATCGCGTTGGTTATGAAAACGTCACTAATATTGACGTTTTTGAAACGTCACTCATCTTGACGTTTACATAAACAATCCCAAAATCGCTTTGGTTATGAAAACGTCACTAATATTCACGTTTTTAAAACGTCACTCATCTTGACGTTTTCATAACTAATACCAAAATCGCTTTGGTTATGAAAACGTCACTAATATTGACGTT